CTTGGCTGGTAGTCGGTGCCCTCGGAAACAGACGATTTAGGGGGCGTCTACGACTGGTAGTCAAGTCTGGCGAAGCATCTTCAGAGTAAACTGAGGCGGTTGCGGAGACTAGATCTGCCCTACCGCCTCTGCCGGTCTAGGGGGTTCAGAGAATTTCGATCCAATTGCGGAGATCTCTGGCTTTCCAGGAAGATTTGGTGAGGCAGCGCTTTGAATTTTTCCCGACACTGAAGGTCTGGGAAGTCAAGAGCTGACAGCTTCTCTAGGTCCCACAACATTAATCCCTCTTCATTATTCTTCTCTTCCTTTTTCTCCTTGTTGAAACGCCAAACATGCTGTACACATTCACACACACACACCAGCTGAAAGTCTGGAGCACGGGCCGCTCATGTATCCAGGCGACGCGAGTTCATCAAGCGACCTGGCAGGTTTCCATTTCCTCACGGAAATTGAAGCCAACGCGGAGGCTGAGTCGAATTGCTTTTTGCCTGGGCCGTCAACCTCTCAGAAGACACAGAGCGGAAGGTCTACCGGTTTCCTTCAACATACTCAGCGTCAACTCTACCATTTTGGAGAGATCCAGAAGAAGTCCTCTTTCACGAGTCAGCCGCACTTGGCGCCACGCGTTGCCACAGAGACGCCCACCACCGGCTCCTCCAAGGCAACTAGACAGCCGCCTCATGCGCACACTTTCAGTCATGCTGCAACGGAGAACGCGATTGACCTGCCACGACAACCGGAAGTGACCGACACGGTCGGGCTGTCGAAATGCGCTGGACCGGGCAGCGGATCTGGGCCCGGAGCGGTCGCCTGGTCCGCACCACCAGAAGGCGACAAGACCTGTCTACATCCGACCCGAGTCGCGGAACGAGGACAAAGCCTACCATCCAAACCTTCACCGGTCACCAAACCAAAACGGAGCACAGATCCTGATAACTCGGAGTCCCATTCTCCGGCACCCCGTCCGACAAAGCAACTGCCACTTGAGCCTCTATTTCACCATCATCACCACCGAATCCCTCAATTCCAACATCATGCTCATCATCATCACCATCATCACCACCATCACCACGAGCATCAGAATCAGAGTCAAATGACACTGGGAGTCAGCAAGGACCATCAGAGCGCCTCGAGAAAGTGTGGATGTAGTGACCGAATTGCACGAGAAAAAAGTTATTAGTCTACGGAGTTACATTACCATTACCTTCTTTCGAAAAATATTTCAAAATAGTCCAAAACAAAATGTAAATGCAAAATGAAGACTTTGTTTGTTCTGTTAGTTTGGTAGACCAGCATTGATTGTTTGGCACTGTTTTAGAAGGGAAGATGATTCAAAAGTATCAGCACTTCGTGAATAAGAGCTTATGCGAAAAAAAGTTAGACTTCGAGGACTCTTTTGGCAGATAATTTTTGAGCCGACTGCAATCTTGAGTGAAAATGTTTGGTGAAGAGATTCAAAGGCCGATCTCATTAGAAGACGACCCACAGCGGATTCCTCTCGAACGAATAATGCTTTCGATCGTCGTATGACGGATATCAGCAGTGCAATCATATTCAAGCTAAAGAAATCAAGAAAATACATGAAAGCACATAAACACACACGCAGACTCACTTACATGCTTAGAAGTTGACATACAACTTAAACTAAGCTCTTTGATGAGATATACACTGATTTATATAAGTGGGTTGACCTCGTTGTCGCACAACGGACGGAAGTCTAGCACATCTTCACCGGAATCGAGGGAGATAGCCTCGGAAACAGCGTCTTGAAGAATATTCTAGCAAAACCAATCAATTGCTGAGTAGGAATTTGCCGTCGACTTCTAGTGAGATGGACCTTGGAAGCTTTTCACCAAACACTTTTACTCAGAATGGAAACTCAACAATAAGAGCTGTCACTCCAGATGGAAGGAAGTGGGAAAATTTTTACACAATGTCATGAATGGGCCTTGCAGTACCGTTTAATTCCACTTCGCTTGAACTTACGCATTAAAGCCAAAAATAATTATAATGCAGTAAAAAGAAGCTATTTTGGGTCCTCTCTAAGGAGACAGAGGAGCTCTTTAATGAGAGATATAATCTAGAAATTGTGCGCTTCTTCTTTACAACACTTAAAGAATATCATTAGTCATTTTAAATTTCAGGTGAAGTTTACTCAATTTCGTTTTTTTTCTAACTCTTTTCCGCATGTTTTTTACTCATTATTGTTGCTGATACCCCTTATAGTACTCAGCCTGGATGACTGATGCATAAAACCTCAGTTTTTATGTATACAACTAACAAACTGTGCCAATTATTGGCTATATTCAGTTAAAAATTCGTATGATTTTGTGAAATTGCTATATCAGCAGACAATTTCAGAAGATAGGCTAGTAACCTTTGACGCCGTGTCTGTG